AAAACTGGGCGGCATAGCTCGCAACCCACCATGCCCACCAACGCCGTCTTTGAGCTGCAACAGCCGGAACATCTCCACCAAATCTTCTGAGAGGTAGACAGTGTTGATCACAGGGCTGGTGGGCACACAGCCAACCTGGAACGGGTGCGCTGTGATGTTCTTCTCGCCGTGCGAAGTGCACCCAAAAATGGGCACCACGAGGGAGCCCGCCACGCCGCCAAGGCCGTGATACACTGCCGGCATGGTTCCAGTCTTCCTGAAACAGCAAAGAGTGCCGTCATGCCGGCCAGCTGTGGGCCAGCAGCGCAGTGGCTCCGTGCTGTCCAGCCGCGCCTGAACCTGCTGGATTTCTGCCGCCCGCTGCCCCGCCTGCAGCGCCGCCCGCTGCGGTGTGGTGGCCAGCATCATCTGCTCGTCCGCCTCTCTCCTGTCGTCCCAAGCATCGTGCCTGCGCTGCTGCCGCTCGCTCCACCAGCCGCTGCTGCTCGAGGTGTTTGGCCCCGCCTCGGCATGGCGCCGGCTGCGCTGCCCGGGATGATTTATAGGAGGAGCCTGACCTGGTCTTTTAGATGCCTGCCTGCGCGGCTGTTCATTGTCAAGGCGCCTCCCAGGGTTGGACTCATGCACGCTGATGTGCAGCTTGGGGGGAGTCATGAAGCATTTGGGCTACCCGGAGTCGATCACGACAAACGAGAGGGAAAATGGTGGAGGTTTGAGGGAGATGAAGCCTGAAATGCATGATGGGTGGGGGATGCATGACCCCCGCCAGGAGGGGACCGGTGATCGGGAGGCCTACCTGCTCCACCCCAGGGAGGCAAGGGCCTCCCATTTGTAACCACTGGTTTGGCAGGGAAGCAGAGTAGCCGTGACCGCCCGCAACGAGGGCGACAGCAGCAGCGTTGGGGACACCGAGCAAGCCGCGCAGGTCGACCCAGCAATGGCCCCCAGCGCCGCCGACGGCTCCCAGACCCGCCTGCCAGCGGCGGCCAGCGGCGGCGTGCGGGGCTGGCTCAAGTGGCTGGGCTACCAGGCGCTGGGGCTGGCTCTGGCCACCCCCATGGCCCTCAAGCTGCTGGTCCAATTCGTCACCAAGTGCGTGAGCCGCGCGCGGGGCTGTACGGGGCAGCCAGCCACGCTCGGCTGCTGGGCCGGCGCCATGGCGCGGCCCTCTGCCTCTGCACCACGGTCGGCGGCGCTGCTGTGCTGGGGCCTCCGTGCCGCCGCCCCGCTGCCTGCCCCGTCCGACGCCACCCCTCTGCCTGCCTACCTGCCTGCCTGCAGCCCCCGCCGGACGCTGTACCGCAAGGACCGCAACCACATCCAGTATCCCGACCCTCTGCCCGGCCTAACCCACGAGTGGCTCGAGACTGCGCCCGGCGTCAAGTGCGCTCGCCTGCTGGACCGACCGCTGCCGCTGCCGCTGCCCCTGCCGCCGCCAGCAGGCCCGCGCTGCTGCCGGCCCCACGCCTGGCCCACGCGCCAGGCCCTCGCTCGCCTGCGCCCGAGCCCGGCCTGCCCTCCAGCCAAGCGGGCAGCCCTGCCAAGCTGTTCCTTTCTCCCCGAGCCGCCGCCGCTCTCTGTCTCGCTGGCTGGCCCCTCGCCTTCTGCCAGCGCCTTCGCCCGGCCCGCCACTCCTCCCCTCCCGCTCCCTCCCAGGATCCACATGGTGCGCACCAGCAAGGGCTCCGGCAAGCCGCTCATGCTCATGGTGCACGGCTTCCCGGAGGCCTGGTTCTCCTGGAGGGCGCAGATGGCGGCGTTCAGGTGGGGGGGGGCCTGGTGTGTGTGTGCTTGTGTGCGCGCGCACGTGTGCTGCTGCGGTGTGGTGCTGGTGCTGGTGCTGCGGGGGCAGGCAGGGGGCGCCTCGCCGGTGGTGGTGCCGCCGTGCTGTGCCACGCTGTGCCGGTTGTGCTGCTCTGTGTGCCGCTCACGTCGCGCTTGCGTGCTCTGTGCAACCGCCTCACCCTGCGCTGTGCCGTGCTGTGCCATGCTGTGCCATGCTGTGCCACGCTGGCAGGGACCAGTACGAGATTGTGGCCATCGACATGCGCGGCTACGGAGTGTCCAGCAAGCCTCCGGTGGGCGCCCCCGCTGCGGCCCTGTGCAGGCCCCGCCCAGCCCTGCCGCGGCGCAGAGCCGGGCAGAGCGCCGCCGTGGTGCCGAGGCGGGAGCGCCTCCTTTGCGCGCGGGCCCCTGCTGCGCCGCGGCGGGGCGGCCAGCCGCCTCCACGGCGGGGCTGCCAGGCTCCTGCTCCGCACGCCCCACGCTGCCCACGTGCGTCCCACTCCTGGTGCTGTGCCGTGCTGCGCTGCAGGGGCGTGCGCCGTATCACATGCCAGAGCTGGTGGCCGACGTGAATGCTGTGGCGGGGCACCTGCTGGAGGAGGCGGGGCAGGAGAAGGTGGGTGGGTGGCTGCCTGCCTGGCTGGCTGGCTGCGGCCCCCAGGCAGAAAGAGGGCTGCTCGGGGCGCTCTCCCTTTGCCTCCGGCAGCTGCAGCGCAGCATCAGGCTGCTGCCTACCTCGCCCAGCCCGCGCCCAGCGCCATCCCCACACCACCCCTTCCCCTCCCCCTCCCTCCTCCCGCCTGCTCCGCCGCAGCTGGTGCTGGTGGGGCACGACTGGGGCGCAAACACGTGCTGGGGCGCGGCCGCCACCGCGCCGCACCTCTTCTCCCGCCTCGCCATCCACTGCGTGCCCCACCCCGAGTGCTTCCTGCGCAACATGGATGGAGACCAGTTTGCGCGCAGCTGGTGAGAGAGGGGGGACGAGGCGCGCTGCGCCTGTGTCCCCAGGCCGCCGCTGCCGCTGCCGGCGCGCGGTGGCCGCGCCTGAAGCAGCGCCGGCCGCTGTGCTGGAGGGCAGGGGAGCGCCAGGCGCGGCGTGCTGGGGCCTTTGCTGGGCCCGCCTCCGTCCCGTCTCACTCCTTCCTCCCCCTTCCTTCCTCCTGCTTCCCTCCTGCTGCTTCCCTCCTGCTTCCCTCCTGCTTTCCTCTTCCTTCCCCCTGCTGCTGTCTACCTGCTTTCCAGCTGATGTTCCTGCTTTCCTCCTCCCTGCCGCCCCCCGCAGGTACATCTTTGCCTTCCAGGTGCCCAAGCTGGCGGAGTGGGCCCTGTGCGCCAATGACTATCAGCTGTTGGAGGAGGTGCTCACCAAGCCTCCTGGGGGCTGCACCACACCCGGCGCCGTCTCCAAGGAGGCGCGTGGCGCTGGCGGCGGAGCCATCCTGCAGCCCCGCGCGCTGTTTGCTGCAGCAGCTGCTGGGCGGGGCAGGGCGACGGGTGGCTGGCGCGGAACGACGGCGTGGCGGCCGGCTGGCCGGCTGGCTGGCGGGCCGTCGCACTCGGTTGGGCCCACGGCCTGCCGCGCGCCTCGCTCTGCCCTGCCTGCAGTACATCGAGCGGTACAAGCAGGCGTTTGGCCGCCCCGGCGCCGCCACCGCCGCGATCAACTTCTACCGCCGAGTCATCGACCTGGCCTCGCGCTACCCGGCCCCCGCCCTGCAGCGGTGCGCGACGCTGCGCTGCTTGTTTGCCGCCGCCGCCGCCTGCCGCGCACGCAGGCAGCCTGCCCCCCGCTGGTCGGTTGGACGCACGCTGTGCCCGCTGCGCCGTGCTGTGCGCGCTGCGCACGTGCAGGGCGCTCAAAGGCAAGATCAGCGTGCCTACAATGGTCGTCTGGGCCGAGAACGACACTGCGCTGGGCCAGCAGGTGAACAAAGGCGGTGTACACCCACCACCACCACCACCACCTCCACCTGTGCCAGCCCCAGCTTGGCACGGCCCGCGACCTCCCAGCCCCGCCCTGCTCTTTGCTGCAACCCCCTCCTCCTTACCCCCACTCCCACTCACCCCCTCCTCCTTACCCCAACACCCGCTAACCCCTCCCCTCCTCCTGCAGCTGCTGCGCGGCATCGAGAGGTACGTGGAAAGCGTGCGGGTGGAGGTGCTGCCCGGCAGCTCGCACTGGGTGCAGCAGGACAGGCCCGAGGAGGTCAACCGCCTGCTGGCCTCCTTCCTGGGGGCCGCGGCGCGGTGAGCGGCACCGGCGCGGAGCTGGCTGGCGCTGGCTGGCGAAGGCCGGCACCGGGCCGCTGCCGGCTTCGTGGGAGGCAGCGAGTTGCCACAGGCCCAGCCGCGGCGGCGGGGAGTGTGCAAGCCAGCAGGGCGGCGCGTGAGGGACCGGCTGCTGCTTGTCTCAATGCTGACATTGAAAATGCAATCACTGCTGAATGACTTGGCGGCCGACAGAGGCCCTGGCCTGAAAGTTTGAGAAACCACGATTGCATAGCATACAGCGGCAGCGGCGACGTGGCGGTGGAAAGCTCGGCCTAGGCAGAAGCAGGCCCTGGCTGAGCATAGCGGCTCTTCTGCTTTGCCTCTGCACTACTCAAAGCCTTGGACGAGCCAGGCAGAGCCTCCAGCCGCACCTAGGTTCTCGTGGCTGCCACAGCTCCTCTCCTCTCTGCTGCTGGCTGCTGTCCCGCTCTCAACAGGCACCTGACCCTTGCCAGAAGAACGCACGAGGCAAGCTGGCTGGTGCCGTCGCGGTGGGCAGGCGACCCGCTCCTCAGCCGCCGCTCTTAGACGCTGCCGCTCACCACGGCTGCCCCTCTTGCTGCAGATGAGCTTGCTGAGAATAGCGGCTTCAGCAGTGGATCGCAGCGACGTGCAACGACTGCAGGCAGCACTAAGCCAGCAGCCCAGCCTACTCAGCGAGAGGGACAGTCGCGGTGACACGCTGCTGCACAGGGCAGCATTTGAGGGCGCCACAGAGTGCCTGCAGAGCTTGCTGGCGGCTGGTGCCAGCACCGAGGCGGCCAGCACTGCGGCAGGCGCCACAGCTCTATTCTGGGCGGTGCATCGGGGCCATGAGGCCTGCGTGCGGGAGCTGCTGGCGGCGGGGGCAAACACTGAAGCAGCTGACAACATTGGGATGAAGCCCCTGCACATTGCCGCCGCGGGAGGCCGCCTGGGCTGCCTGCAGCAGCTGCTGGACGCTGGAGCCAATTACGACGCCGTGCATGTTGATGGGGCAACGGCATTAATAGTGGCTGCCAAGCAGGGCCATGCATCATGCCTGCAGCCGTTGCTGGCAGCTGGGGCCAGCATTGATGTAGCAGATCGGCATGGGCAGACAGGGCTGCTGGTGGCAGCTTGGGTGGGCGACGAGGCATGTGTGCAGGCATTGCTGGCAGCGGGGGCAAACACTGAAGCGGCTGCCAGTAGTGGGAAGAGGCCGCTGCATGCTGCCGCCATGGGAGGCCACCTGGGCTGCCTGCGGCAGCTGCTGGACGCTGGCGCTGACGTGGATGCAGCAGACCGGCATGTGCAGACACCACTTCACCACGCTGCAGCCAGAGGCCGCCAGGCCTGTGTCAGCTGCCTGCTGGCAGCGGGGGCAAGCATTGAGGCAGCAGACAAGCTTGGACAGACAGGGCTGCTGCTGGCTGCTTGGGAGGGCCACGAGGCATGTGTGCAGGCATTGCTGGCAGCGGGGGCTAACGTTGAGGCAGCTTCCCGCAATGGCCACACGGCCCTGCATTTCGCAGCGGCAGAAGGGCACACGGCATGCCTCAACCTGCTGATCGCTGCCCATGCCAACATTGAGGCAGCCGACAGCCACCAGATGACAGCCCTGCACTGGGCAGCAGAACGCGGCCACTTGCCAGCCATTCGCTGCCTGGTTGCAGGAGGCGCGAGCATGGTGCAGGGGGATGAGGAAGGCCTCACCCCTCGCATGCGTGCAATCAGGAATAAACAGCGGGAAGCAGCACAGCTGCTATTAAAGCTGGAGCAGCATCAGGCGGGAAGGGGGCAGCCGGGTGTGCCCGGCAGCAGGGCCTCACTCCGGAAGCAGGCTGAAGCCCCAGGGACTGCTCCAGCCTTCACACCTGCTGCTGAAGCTGCAGCACAGGCTGCTGCTGCCCAGCTGCTGGCAGAGGAGGAGCGCGAGGAGGAGCAGCAGGCGGCCAAAGCCGCCAAGCGGCGGCGACAGAAGGAGTGGCAGCGCCAGCGGGCTGCTGTGCCGACGGAAGAGGCGGGCGAGATTGCTGCACCCCAGGCAGCGGTGTCAGAGCCGCCTTCTCAGCAGGCAGAAGGCGCATCAGTGGCAGCTGCTGGCACGTCCAATGCAAGCCTGGAGCCGGCACAGCAGCTCACCTCCACTGCCTGCCCAGCTATGCCCGCCACGCCTGCTGCTGCCGCTAGCAGGCAGCAGGGCAGCGGCAAGAAGAGGAGCAAGAAGAAGAAGAACAAGGGAGGAGGGCAGGCGGCGGCAGCCCATTTACACACACAGGCAGCAGGTGGAAGCGCTGGTGCCAAGCCCAGCGGGGGAGCTGAAGGGGCACCGGCAGAAGCGGCAGCGGCAGCGGCTGGAGGCAGCAGCGGTGCCGATGACAGCGCTGAGCTGGCGCAGCTGCTGCAGTGTTTGGGCGTGCAGGCAGCAGGGGAGAGCCCCTCTTGCGGTGCCGGCGGCGATCTACTGCAAGCCACGAGCGCGACAGCAGGAGAAGAGGCACCAGCACCAGCGAGCCCCGCCCCGGGTGCTGCGCCAGCATCCCAGGCCGCTCTTCCTGCCCCTGCCAGCCTGCCCCCTGGCCTGCTCAGCGAGCTGCTGTGCCCCATCACTCAGGAGCCGATGCGTGACCCCGTGGTGGCGGCGGATGGGCGCACCTACGAAAGAGCCGCCATCGAGGGTGGGTGGGTGGGGATGGAGGGAGCACAGCAGCAGCCTGCGCATGGCTGTGCCCTGCGGAGTGTTTCCTGACGCCACTTTTCTCATGTCTAGTGGCAGCCCTTCCAGCCCACCCCTTTGCCCTCCCCCTCTTCCCCCCCTGCAGCCTGGATGGCACGCCAGGCATCGGCGGGCCAGCCGCCCTGCTCCCCGCTGACCAACCTGCCGCTGGCGAACCTGGTGCTGCTCCCGAGCGTGACCATGCGCAGCCTGGTGCTGGGGCTGCAAGCTGCGGGGCTGCTGGAGTGAATCGACAAGGCAGCGCTGCCCGTTCTGCTTGCTTGCTTGTTTTGTAACACACAATGGCTGATTGCTTGTTTGCTTGTGCTTGTGTGGGCTTAAAGTCTGGTAAAGCAAGAACTAGCTTGCAACATAGACTCCCCGCCGAAACGGGACGGGAACCGGGCGAAAGCAGAGAAAGCAATAAAACAGGGGTGGAGCAAGGCGACATGCAACGCAAGCAGCTGACAGGGCACGCATCGAAACGTGTGTATGACTGGCAAAGTGGCATGGCGCATTGGGGAGAAACGCAACGGTACGGGAGCATGGGCTGGCCAAACGGCAGTGCGGAACGCTAGGTCACTAGAAAAGCAGGGAAAGGCGCACTATGTATGCAATGAGGGCAGCCCCGGCTCGGGGCCGTTGAGAAAGCAGTGGTCGGGAGGGGGGAGGCCCCGGTGTGGGCGGGCCCCATCGAGGGGGGATGGGGCGCGCAAGCGGCCAGATGGGGCGGGGCGCGGGCGGCAGTAGAGTCCTGCGGCTGGGTGGGATATAGGGCAATGAGCGTTGAGCAGTGTGCGATGAGCAATGAGCAATGAGCAGTGAGCAGCCCCTCCCTAAACAAAGTGAAGCGCAGGACGGGGTCCGGTGGATGGGAGGCAAGGAAACGCGGGGGGTTGCCACGTGCGCTGCCGCCGCCGCCGCAGGCAGCACCCCTGCGGCGGCGGCAGCGGCAGCAAGCCGAGGACCCAAACGCCGTGCCGCCGCCGCCGCAGGCAGCACCCCTGCGACGGCGGCGGCAGCAAGCCGTGGACCGAAACGCCGTGCCGCCGAGTCCCGTGGCTGTGGCCGTGGGCTTCTGGCAGGAAACTACGGCCGCAACTCGGCAGCACGGGGGCGTCGCAGCGTGCCCCCGCCGCCGCCGCGCTGCCCCCCGGGCACGGCGGCGGCGGCAGCAAGCTTGGGCCCAAACGCCGTGCCGCCGAGTCCCGTGGCTGCGACCGTAGACCGTGGGCCGGAAACTGCGGCCGCAGCTCGGCGGCACGTGGTTCTGTTCAAATCGCCAAGCGTGCAGCAGCGCCGAACCACGCTTCCCGGCCTCGGCGCATGCCTTCAGGGGCCCCCTATCGCTGGGCACACCCCTCCAACACCGAACATGCGCCCGGGGGGGAGGGCGGCCCGGGCTGCCCAGGCCAAAGTGGGCCGCCCTCGAGCAAGAGGCGGCCGGTCTGTGTGCTGAATGAATGAATGATTGCTAAGGGAACTCAAGGACTGTTGCGCCAGCCAGCCCCGCACACCCAGCGTCCCACCGCGGCTAAGCAAGGGGCTGCCAGCGAGGCCGACATAGCTGCTACCCCGCCCGTCCTTCGACGTCTCAAAGCACCGAGTAGAACCAGCAGCAGCGCAAACACAGCTCCCTCCCCTCCCTGGTTGCTCAGTGCCGCCCGCCAGCCCCACAGCCCGACGCCAATCGTGGAGCTGAGCGGCAGCGCTGCGAGCTGCACCCAGGCCAGCCAGCCACCCAGGCTCCGCTGCGCACGGGGCTGCTCCCTTGTAAGCCCCCACTCCCTTGCTGCCTCCTTTGCTCGGGCTGACTCCTTGCGCCTGCCCGGGAAGGGGAGCAGGCACGGTGCTACCACCATGCACCCCTCTACTGGATGCCCAGATGAAATGTGTGCGATCAGCTGTTTGCCACATTGGTACCGAACAGCGATGTGCGGCATTGCCGACCAGGGCCTGCAGCAGCGGGGGCCGGCCAAAGGGAACAGGAGCGGAGGGGAGGGTGGGAGTTCACATGGCATCCAAGTGCACACACGCAGCTGGCAGGGCAGGGGATGAGGCGCAAGCGGCGCCACTCAAGCTGGTTTGCAACCTTCAGCCTCCAGTGCACACAGCGGCAACGGCGACGTGGCGGTGGAAAGCTCGAGGCCGAGGATGAAGCAGGCCCAGGCTCAGCTCAGCTCTTCTGCTTTGCCTCTGCGCTCTCACAGCCTTGGACGAGCCAGGCAGAGCCCCCAGAGGCACCTAGGTTCTCGTGGCTGCCACAGCACCTCCGCTCTCTCCTGGCGGCTGTTTCGGGCTCC